TTATTTTCGTTACCACCAGGGTGGGAATCACATTGTTTTTGTCTGAGGATTTTTGCAAGTCTTGTTCAAAGTCACTAGTACGTTACAGCCCCTTCCCTCCTCACCTTCCCTCCTCACCTTCCCTCCTCACCTTCCCTCCTCACCTTCCCTCCCTTCTCTTTAGCTCGCTCACTCACCTTCCCTTTAGTTCCTTCACTCACCTTCCTTCTCTTCCTTTTACTTCCTTCTCTCCCTGATCATCTCCTCTGTGCCTCCTCCCTCCCGTCTTATCTTCATCCAATTATCTTCTTCCCACTCTAAACTTACTCCTTCGTATGTAAAGTTAAGTGCTGACTAAGGCCAGATTCCTATTTGGAGTTATCCGTAGCTCTTACGTCTTCATTAACAGATACGAGACAATGTTTGAGGATGTCTATATAATTTTTGTAAGTATATACGGGTCAGTACGGAAATGTGTAGTTGTGCAGCGAAGACTCTAGTGAGGATGACAAAGTATATATGTTTTAACATTAGATAACCAGATACTCTGCAGTATACGGATACCTTTTAATCATCGTTCAAATACAGCCATGTACGTCCACAAGACTCACGAAATCGTAATGACACAAATTCCACAACTGTACCGTAATTTTACCACGAATATGATGCACACATAGTGCATCATATTCGTTAGGGGCAGCAGGTGTCGCCGGCCCGTGGTTGAACCTGGCGGCCTTTGGGTTGTGAAAGGAACGCTTTTCTTTTAGTGGATTGGGAGGAGAGGAACTTAGGATACTGTTTATGTGAGATACTAAGCTCTTGTGGGTCTTGAAGAGTGATGAATGGTGTAGGCTCAATCCTTCGTCCACTACAGCAAGATAGACGTGTTACCAGATTGTCCTCAATGTTGAGGACGGATTATAATTATATGAAACAATCTTAAAAGTCGTACGGATCATATAGAATTCTGTGGGTGAGGCGAGCAACACATGTTCACCTGAAGGAACAACGGTCGGCTCCTAGGTGCACACATATGTATACCTGAAGGAACAACGGTCGGCTCCTAGGTGCACACATATGTATACCTGAAGGAACAACGGTCGGCTCCTAGGTGCTCACACGTTTACCTGAAGGAACAACGGTTGGCTCCTAGGTGCTCACAAATGTTTACCTGAAGGAGCAACGGTCGGCTTCTAGGTTCACACACATGTATACCTGAAGGAACAACGGTCGGCTCCTAGGTGCTCACACATGTATACCTGAAGGAACAACGGTCGGCTCCTAAGTGCTCACACCGCAACAATCTCTCATACAATTAAATGAAAGTCTCACCGAGAAATCGCATCATCTGTCGCAGTCAGCAGCAAAAGTGCTCGGGTTACACCTAACTGAGCGTCACTCAGGTAAGCGCTCCTCTCTCTCTCTCATCATTCTGATGCTGAAGGCTTCGTAACGATTACTGAAAACTCCTAAATTGCAATGCTAAGTGAATTACTGAACCAAAGTTATATTGGCTCACTATTGCCATCAATTGTTCTTTTGTTGTTCACTGATGTTATTTCTTTAAATTTTCTCTCTGCATCTTGCTTCTGCAATATTCATTGCTGCACAAGCAACGTCAACTGACATATAAGCTGAATTTTAAAGGCTGGGTAAAACGCGAGTTGCAGCACCAGATGGGCCGTAACAGGCCGGTGGACTCAGTCATAGATGTCAGTTACAGCTCTTTTAATGACCGTGGTGTAGCTTTTATCATGCTCGCCCAGAACATTGATCATGAAGATCTTTGTTCCTGATGTAGAGCCAATGAGAAACTCATCTGGTATCAAGCTTATTATTAGAATTATATTGAAGGAGCAGGACTGAACCCGGAGGGATCACACGGGTTTAAAATTTCTAAATGATGATAAATAATAATTAATAATATTAATAACGAAATAATAATAATGATAATGACACTAACAACCCCAATAATAATAGCATTATGTGGGATCACTGTTAAGTCAAATGGACTGTAACATGATTTAACATCATCCGTGACGCAATTATGTTTAGGTAACAGTTTCGAAAGTGTCAATGCCGATGCCTCATTATCCTGTAGGTGAATACGCATTTCATACCCAGAATATCCAGCAGAGGAATTTGCAGTTCACACCCAGGCTCCAGATACCTGAATCGTTATTCAGAATATTTCTAGGGCAGTGCCTAGTTACCTGTCGTTGTTCCAGCTAATTAAAGAGGAGGGTTTCATTACCTCGTAGGAAAGTCAAATTCTACCCGGGTTTAGGAGGCTTCCACACGCCAACACCTGGTCAATGGACCATTATATCACTAAACCCGTAGAGGTAATAGTAGTCACTGAATCGGTGAGGATGGTTAGCGTGGTATCACGTGAGGTACAGACGGAATGTTATCACACGGAATGGTGTCACGTAGATTCCGAATTATATCACAAGATAGAAATGACATGTTATATGATGTTATTGCCTGAGGTAAACACGGTATGTTATCCCTGACCATTGGTTTGAATGTTGATATGGTTTGACGTCTTGGTTATATTAGTGATGTTTACAATGGTGCCTGGAGATGTTTTTATGAAGACAGTCAGCGGATAATTCCATTGACAGTGCTTCCATTGGTGATGGTACTGTCATGGGGGATGCTGCCATAGGTGGTGATGCCATGAGTGGTGGTGGTGGTGCTGTCATGGGGAAGTATAACCAAAGGCAATACTACAATGGATGGTGCTGCCATGCTTGGCTCTGTCATGGCGTGGTGCTGCCCATACTATCAGCATTTTATGGGTTAAAAAAAACGACTGTTCTCAACTAAGGCAGGGTGATCCAAAGAAGAAAATATATACACTAAAACCTGTTGTTTTATCAGCCTTTCCAGAGGACACCTACATCGCAAAACATCTCTTGCCTGACACCGTCCCTCATGGCTCAGGCACTGTACTTCCCTCATGGCTCAGGCACTGTACTTCCCTCATGGCTCAGGCACTGTACTTCCCTCATGGCACAGGCCCTGTACTGCCCAACCTCCAAAACTTAATATCAACCAGTCGAGTTTCCTGGGCCCCTTGAGATAAATGACTCTACTCACATTTTAGGCACAGCCTCCTCTTTTTCCAGTTCGAGACCACAAGAAACCGCTTTGAGAACTTCCATGAAAACCTTTGGAAAAAAATCGAAAATCTGAGAATGATTTATGTAATACTGAGTCCATTTAGATCTGACAATTTAAAGTGCCTTTTTTTCGCCTACATAAATGATGTCATGGATTACTATATAGGAATAAATTTATGTATTTATGTTTGAGTTATGTCGATTAAAATATATAAATTGTGAATTTGGTTACTGTCATCTCATGCACATCTCTTTTCACTGAGGCTGAGCAACGCCACACGTGTTCAGTAGTACCACACGTGTTCAGCAACGCCACACGTGTTCAGTAGTACCACACGTGTTCAGTAACACCACACGTGTTCAGCAACGCCACACGTGTTCAGCAACACCACACGTGTTCAACAACTACACATGTTCAACAACATCACGCTTGTTCAGTAACACTACACGTGTTTACCAGCAGCACACGTGTTCACCAGCGGTGCTACTGTTCAGTGGTAGCGTCAGCTCGTGTTACCACAATATCAGATAATATTCGTCACAGTATTTATTGACTTACCAACTTGATTTTTTTATCTGTTAAAGAGAAATTTTCCACAAAACAATAGCCACATAATTTCACTATTGTTTATAGGTTTTTTACGATTTTTTTTAAAGAGAGAAAGTCTTGTGCGGTATTTGTTTCTCTTTTTTTTCGATTTTTTTTTTTACTTATTTTAATGTGAAACGAAAATCCTGCAACATCGTTATTTTGTTATTTAGGCTGAATTATTTAACACAATGATTCCAATTGAAATGTTAGAAATTATTCATTTATTAACATTACTTCCTTCTTTATTTTCGTCCTAATTTGTTTTAATCAATCAATCAATATGTATACATATACATATACATAAAAAATCATATGACTAGGTTAATTAGAAAAAAAAATTAACCATTAAAAAGGGGCATAAGCCCCCTTGACACGTTCTAACCCCCCTTTTTTCAATGCCTTATCCAGGGGAGGAGGGGAATGTGTTATGGACTCCAATCCTGTGTAAGTAAACTCCAGACCTGCTGGAAGAATTCAAGGGACGAGTATACTTAACAATGTTAATATAAAACAAATTATGCACTCCTTGAAATGATAAATTAGACACATGTGCAACTCTTGGGTATCTTTATTGAGGAAACGTTTCGCCACACAGTGGCTTCATCAGTCCATACACAGGAGAAGCTAGAAGAACAGGAGGAGAATGAGGTATTCTATTCAAGATTGATGGACTGACCACATCGACTCAAGGCTGAGGGACTAATTACCTCATTCTCCTCCTGTTCTTCTAGCTTCTCCTGTGTATGGACTGATGAAGCCACTGTGTGGCGAAACGTTTCCTCAATAAAGATACCCAAAAGTTGCACATGTGTCTAATTTATCAACGTGTTGGTTCTCTGAACCATTCATCTACAAACTCCTTGAAATATATACACCAGCATCAGAAAGTCTACCTTAAAATTTCTCTGACACTATCACACGCTCTCAGTGACTGTTCTATGTATTACATATTTTATACAACCTCACTGTTGATGTCTGGATTGTTGCATCTTCTTGGGTGAATGTATCCACAACATTCAGAGGTTATTCACATAGGATATTGTTTTTACAGCAAATCGCATAAGTTAAATAGATAAATACTGTTGTCAAGTGCGTGTGATGTTGACTGAATGAAAAATTTACTGATGCTCAATTGTTTTAAGGTAAAGGAAAAATTAATGTGCTGATAGAAAGGATAAGGGAAAAGAAGGATAAGGGAGATGAAGAATATGAGAGAGTGTGAGAGGCAGATGTACGGGAAGAAAGTACTTGGAAAGGGAAGTAGAACGAGGAAAATTAAGAAAAAACTTTAAGATACGAACCTGAGAGTGTGTAGACGTCACCCTGGTAGTGACGGGTGATGGAGGTCACTATCTTCCCCGATGGTAACTTCTTCGCAGCTTCCGTCCGACACAGTAATATCATGAGTAAAAACCACACTACCTCCGTCACCATCTTGACGAGGTGCCGCCACTCTCCGACCTCGTGTGTATCCCCGTGTGCTCCTTGTGACTCTTGCTGTGCGGGATGTCTGTCATGTTTTCAGTCTTAAAGATCTTTCTAGTGAGACACTCATTGTTCTTATAACAAATATCACCTCAATATTTATAACATTGTTCAACATTGCTGTATTCTACTATGTCGTTATCCGGCTAATAAGCTTATTAAAGTAACTTCTCATATTATATATTAAAAATTACAATATTGTATTAATGGGTCAGGACGGACCGAAACGTCTTCCACTTTTCGTTTCTATTTTATGATAATTGCGAATTCTTCTAGTCACTGAACGTTGATTAATGTTCTTCTTCCGTATATAGAAAGACTCTAAGGTAAATATTTCCTCTAAAATACACGAACCTCAAAGTATATAATGCCTTCACTAGACGTTCATCTTATTTCAGCTCGAGTGCGTTAATGAGAGCGTAAGATTACTGGGAGCATCAAGGGGAACACTGAATGTTTTGAAATAAGGGCGTTGAAGAACGTAGGTCTGTGACAACTAGACTTGGAGAGCTATTCCACGAGGTTGCTGGTGTGTCCTTCAGCCTCTCCTGTAAGAATATGGGAGAGGCATTCCTGTAGTCCATCGTTTGAACGCTCTTTAATCACTCCTGTGGGTGATAAATGGAGAATAGAAAATTAATAAAGGAACCATCACGGGGGGAAGGGAGTGAATCACCAAAGTCAATTAATTTATTAATCTTAAGAGCATGGCAACATATTGGTAAATACACGAGTCATTGAAACATTACAATATTACCAACTCAGTTTATAGTTTTGCAGTATATATAGTTACAGTATTATTGCGATATGGTGTCCCTTAACTCGATCACTAGAGCACTCAGCTCACACACTGAGGTCCGGAGTTTGAATCTCCGGTACGGCTGGAAAACATTAGGACGTGTTTCCTTAAGACATCTGCTGTCCCTGTTCACCCATAAGTATAAAATAAAGACCTGGGTGTTAGTCGACTGGTGTGGGTAGCATCCTGGGACAAAACTGACCTAGTTTGCCCGAAATGCTCTGCATAACAAGCGGCTTACTATATAGTAGTATGTCATTGATGTCAGCTATGGTCTGTATACCTTGTACATGTACTTGTAGAAATAAAGATGACTCAAGAAATCGTAATGACACGACGGGCTGGAGTTTTGAGACTCTATGACCGCGGGTTCAATCCCGGCCGGGGGTATGGTTTAGAAATAAAGATATTATTATTATTATATTAGGGTACTGGCAATGTGTGGGTTTTGAAAGTGCATGGTAGAGGGCATGCTAAGCTTACTTATAAACATTAAACAAGTTCAACCGTACATGTGGAAGATACGGAGGCTTCATTTTCACAGAAATATTTAAACATTCAGTGTGTTCTGTTTGCTAGTTTACATCGACAACAATTACTCATAAATAGCAACTAAGAGTGGCAAATTATTGTTCAGTAAGAAACGTGGAGTTCAACACAGAGACCAGGTGTTATTATCTCAAACATGACTCCATTATCATAACTGGTGGAACACTGGTCTGTTCCAGTCGCTTTGATCTCTCCACGTAGAGAGGATGGAACAAAATAGATTGACTTTGAGAGTGTATAAATCTGTGGTGGAGGGAAGGCGGGGTTGGGGTCGGCCTAGGTAATGTTGGAGGGAGGGGGTAAAGGTGGTTTTGTGTGCGAGGGGCTTGGACTTCCAGCAAGCATGCTTGAGCGTGTTAAGAGCGAATGGAGACAAATGGTTTTTAAAACTTGACGTACTGTTGGAGTGTGAGCAGAGTAATGTTTATGAAGCCATTCAAGGAAACCGGCAGACCGGACTTGAGTCCTGGAGATGGGAAGTACAGTGACAACACACTGAAGTGTGTACAGCAGGAGGGGCGTTAATGCTGCAGTTCTATAACTGTAGTGTAAGTGCGCCTCTGACAAGACAGTGATGGAGTAAATGATGGTGAAAATTTTTCTTTGTCCGGCCACCCTTCCTTGGTGGGAAACGGCCGATATGTTAATGTGCGTGTGGTTATATATATTTTAATATATATATATATATATATATATATATATATATATATATATATATATATATATATAATATATATTATTTTATTATCACACTGGCCGATTCCCACCAAGGCAGGGTGGCCGAAAAAGAAAAACTTTCACCATCATTCACTCCATCACTGTCTTGCCAGAAGGGTGCTTTACACTACAGTTTTTAAACTGCAACATTAACACCCCTCCTTCAGAGTGCAGGCACTGTACTTCCCATCTCCAGGACTCAAGTCCGGCCTGCCGGTTTCCCTGAATCCCTTCATAAATGTTACTTTGCTCACACTCCAACAGCACGTCAAGTATTAAAAACCATTTGTCTCCATTCACTCCTATCAAACACGCTCACGCATGCCTGCTGGAAGTCCAAGCCCCTCGCACACAAAACCTCCTTTGCCCCCTCCCTCCAAACTTTCCTAGGCCGACCCCTACCCCGCCTTCCTTCCACTACAGACTGATACACTCTTGAAGTCATTCTGTTTCGCTCCATTCTCTCTACATGTCCGAACCACCTCAACAACCCTTCCTCAGCCCTCTGGACAACAGTTTTGGTAATCCCGCACCTCCTCCTAACTTCCAAACTTCGAATTCTCTGCATTATATTCACACCACACATTGCCCTCAGACGTGACATCTCCACTACCTCCAGCCTTCTCCTCGCTGCAACATTCATCACCCATGCTTCACACCCGTATAAGAGCGTTGGTAAACCTATACTCTCATACATTCCCCTCTTTGCCTCCAAGGACAAAGTTCTTTGTCTCCACAGACTCCTAAGTGCACCACTCACCCTTTTCCCCTCATCAATTCTATGATTCACCTCATCTTTCATAGACCCATCCGCTGACACGTCCACTCCTAAATATCTGAATACATTCACCTCCATACTCTCTCCCTCCAATCTGATATCCAATCTTTCATCATCTAATCTTTTTGTTATCCTCATAACCTTACTCTTTCCTGTATTCACTTTTAATTTTCTTCTTTTGCATACCCTACCAAATTCATCTACCAATCTCTGCAACTTCTCTTCAGAATCTCCCAAGAGCACAGTGTCATCAGCAAAGAGCAACTGTGAGAACTCCCACTATATGTGTGATTCTTTATCTTTTAACTCCACACCTCTTGCCAAGACCCTCGCATTTACTTCTCTTACAACCCCATCTATAAATATATTAAACAACCACGGTGACATCACACATCCTTGCCTAAGGCCTACTTTTACTGGGAAATAATTTCCCTCTTTCCTACATGCTCTAACTTGAGCCTCACTATCCTCGTAAAACCTCTTCACTGCTTTCAGTAACCTACCTCCTACACCATACACCTGCATCATCTGTCACATTGCCCCCCTATCCACCCTGTCATACGCCTTTTCCAAATCCATAAATGCCACAAAAACCTCTTTAGCCTTATCTAAATACTGTTCACTTATGTGTTTCACTGTAAACACCTGGTCCACATACCCCCTACCTTTCCTAAAGCCTCCTTGTTCATCTGCCATCCTATTCTCCGTCTTACTCATAATTCTTTCAATAATAACTCTACCATACACTTTACCAGGTATACTCAACAAACTTATCCCCCTATAATTTTTACACTCTCTTTTATCCCCTTTGCCTTTATACAGAGGAACTATGCATGCTCTCTGCAAATCCCTAGGTACCTTACCTTCTTCCATACATTTATTAAATAATTGCACCAACCACTCCAAAACTATATCCCCACCTGCTTTTAACATTTCTATCTTTATCCCATCAATCCCGGCTGCCTTACCCCCTTTCATTTTACCTACTGCCTCACGAACTTCCCCCACACTCACAACTGGCTCTTCCTCACTCCTACAAGATGTTATTCCTCCTTGCCCTATACACGAAATCACAGCTTCCCTATCTTCATGAACATTTAACAATTCCTCAAAATATTCCCTCCATCTTCCCAGTACCTCTAACTCTCCATTTAATAACTCTCCTCTCCTATTTTTAACTGACAAATCCATTTGTTCTCTAGGATTCCTTAACTTGTTAATCTCACTCCAAAACTTTTTCTTATTTTCAACAAAATTTGTTGATAACATCTCACCCACTCTCTCATTTGCTCTCTGTTTACATTGCTACACCACTCTCTTAACCTCTCTCTTTTTCTCCATATACTCTTCCCTCCTTGCATCACTTCTGCTTTGTAAAAACTTCTCATATGCTAACTTTTTCTCCCTTACTACTCTCTTTACATCATCATTCCACCAATCGCTCCTCTTTCCTCCCTCACCCACCTTCCTGTAACCACAAACTTCTGCTGAACACTCCAACACTACATTTTTAAACCTACCCCATACCTCTTTGACCCCATTGCCTATGCTCTCATTAGCCCATCTATCCTCCAATAGCTGTTTATATCTTACCCTAACTGCATCCTCTTTTAGTTTATAAACCTTCACCTCTCTCTTCCCTGATGCTTCTATGCTCCTTGTATCCCATCTATCTTTTACTCTCAGTGTAGCTACAACTAGAAAGTGATCTGATATATCTGTGGCCCCTCTATAAACATGTACATCCTGAAGTCTACTCAACAGTCTTTTATCTACCAATACATAATCCAACAAACTACTGTCATTTCGCCCTACATCATATCTTGTATACTTATTTATCCTCGTTTTCTTAAAATATGTATTACCTATAACTAAACCCCTTTCTATACAAAGTTCAATCAAAGGGCTCCCATTATCATTTACACCTGGCACCCCAAACTTACCTACCACACCCTCTCTAAAAGTTTCTCCTATTTTAGCATTCAGGTCCCCTACCACAATTACTCTCTCACTTGGTTCAAAGGCTCCTATACATTCACTTAACATCTCCCAAAATCTCTCTCTCTCCTCTACATTCCTCTCTTCTCCAGGTGCATACACGCTTATTATGACCCACTTTTCGCATCCAACCTTTTCTTTAATCCACATAATTATTGAATTTACACATTCATATTCTCTTTTCTCCTTCCATAACTGATCCTTCAACATTACTGCTACCCCTTCCTTTGCTCTAACTCTCTCAGATACTCCAGATTTAATTCCATTTATTTCCCCCCACCGAAACTCCCCTACCCCCTTCAGCTTTGTTTCGCTTAGGGCCAGGACATCCAACTTCTTTTCATTCATAACATCAGCAATCATCTGTTTCTTGTCATCCGCACTACATCCACGCACATTCAAGCATCCCAGTTTTATAAAGTTTTTCTTCTTCTCTTTTTTAGTAAATGTCTACAGGAGAAGGGGTTACTAGCCCATTGCTCCCGGCATTTTAGTCGCCTCATACGGCACGCATGGCTTACGGAGGAAAGATTCTTTTCCACTTCCCTGGACAATAGAAGAAATAAAGAAGAACAAGAGCTATTTAGAAAAAGGAGAAAAACCTAGATGTATGTATATATATATGCATGTGCGTGTCTGTGAAGTGTGACCAAAGTGTAAGTAGGAGTAGCAAGATATCCCTGTTATCTAGCGTGTTTATGAGGACAGAAAAAGAATCCCAGCAATCCTACCATCATGCAAAACAGTTACAGGTTTCTGTTTCACAG